TCTTTTAGTATTAGTACTTTAAGGAATATTAATTTTCAAATTCTTTATTAAATTGTACTGATCTTAGAAATCTAGTTTTTAAAGTGTCTATATAAAATCAATTACCTTATATTTCCATATACTTCCAAATTAACATTTCCTTTCTTTTTGTTAATTCTAAATCTAGTGTCAGTTGGATCTGATCCTTTAGAATATGGATGAATAAATGTAAGATTAAAAATGCAGGTGTGATACTGTGTGATATTCCTAAAGCCATGTTGATGAGTATAAAACACTTAGTTTTAGATCATGGTTTCTCACCCTCTGCACTGCTGACATTTTGGGCTTGATAATTCTTTGTTGGGGGGTGGGGGCTGTTCTGTGCGTCACAGGTGGCTTAGCAGCAGCCCTGGCCCCGCTCTAGATGCCAGCAGCATTCGCCCCATGGTGTCAACCAAAAATGTATGCAGACATTGTCAAACATCTCCTGGGGTGAAAATTGCCCTTGGTTGAGAACCACTGTTTTAACTTTGGGAATCCATTGGCAAAACAGTTTATCTGATAGCAAAAGTGATCAAAACACTTAATGAGTTAAATAACAAATGTTTCTTTTCAATTGCTAAGGTGATACAGCAAATATAAACCTAAAACACAACCACTATAAGCACAATATATATATAATATGAAGGGGGCAAATGAATATCAGGACTTTATTCACTGCGTAAGTATACACCATTGAAGTTGCAGAATTTCAGAAAGGAAAATCCTTTAAAGTCATGTAGTGTAAGCTCATTTGATTAAACTGGTATCCTAAGTAGATAAGTAACTTGTCAAGGTCTTGTAGTTAGTAAGTGGCATCTTAATGAGTTGTACCACCAACACTTTATTAACAATTGTCTGGAAGAAACGAGTAACCCGTAAAGCTCCCAGTACTATATATAGTTTATTATATATAGTAAGAACACATAGCTGGACTAGTGTTTCTAAACTGGTACAAGAAGACACTTGGTGCCAAAAAAAGACAGGCATGGCATTATAGTAATAAACTAAAAAACTTGTATTTCTGGTTGAGAAAATAAGCAGGATCAAAAATAGGCAGTTTTAGGCATAAATGTAGCACAAAGAGTCATAAAAACTTGAGTTTTAACTTTGTCAGTCTATCAAAAACACTAAATGCCCCTATTTATGAAGTTTGATATTAAGAAACCTTTTCTTCCCAAGATCCATTTTTAAATTTACACAGAAATATCTGAAAGGTAATGTGCCACAATTCATATAACCTTTGCAGACATGCTATTAATAGAACCCTTGACCTATTTGTCAGACACACAGTACCCATACCAACAGTCCTGACAGTTTATTTCAATTTCCTAAACTCTGGTGGGAGGGTGAGTAAACAAAAACATGCTGCAAGCGATTATCATTCTGAAAACCATCTTTGACCTCTGAAATATCAACATTTATGTGGCTCTTTTACTAATTTTGGAATTCACATGAGAAAAAACTTAGGAAAATTAAGGATATTCAAAATATTAAAACACTCAAAAAGAGGATATACTCTTATTAGTTGAGGATAGATACAAAATACTAATAATGAAAAGGTGCTATGACCCTGGGTTAAATAGAACATGAGTGTTTATCAAATAATAAGCTATAGGGAGAGCAATGTAACTTTTTATTCCATATCCTTGTTCAACAAATATTTAACTGTGTGCCTATAATGCACTAACACTGCCGGCAGGGGGACTAAAGTAATGAAAAAGACAGGGCCCTTCCCTCCAAGGGTTCTTATCTCACTGAAGAATAAAAGTCAGGCCATATTTTAACCATTTCACAGGGAATGACGATAACAGGGAGTACAAGGGGTTCACCTTCTGTTTCTTTTCATTATTGGATTGATTGAGGGAACAAAGGAAGAATTTCAAATAGGATAATATGAGCAGTTGTACTTTACTTTGGATTAGCTTTATTTTATAAAAAGGAGAAGGATTTTGAAGAGAAATTTGTGAAACTCCATGAGATAATAGCAGTGCAATGAACTTTAGAAGAAGAGAAATTATATAAGTATTAAACTACAATTCTGGTTCAGCCATTTTTATAACAACAACATTTTACCTTGATTATATGTTTACTTTGTGGCAGGAACCATTAATACTTTATTATTTCATGTAATTTTTTAATACTTTAACTCATTTAAAAATGACTGTTATCCAATGAGGTGGGTATCATTAATTCCAGTGATAGATAAGGCCACTGACAGAGAAGTCAAGTAACTTTTCCAAGGCCACGAGGATGGCAGGCAAGGCAGCTGGGCATCTAACTATTCTGATGGATTCAAAGCCTGTGCTCTTCCCAGCACACTTACTGCCCTCCACCTCCCTTTCTTCCTGCTGTGGTAGCCGGGCGGAGTAGGGGAAGAGCATTTTGCACAGAGGACTAGCTTGCCAATGGTCCAGAGGCAGTCAAAAGCATGTTAAAGGAATTAAAGAAAGACCCAGTGTATACAGAGGAAGAAAGAGAGTAGTACTAAATGTGACTGGAGGTAGGCGGGGGCTAGCTTATGTATGGTCTTATTAACAATTTTGTGTATTTCGGATTTTGGCCTATGTGCCTAGATAAAAATCACTGAAAGATTTTAAGCAGGTAAGTCATTTGATCAGATATGTATTTTAAAAATATCACTCTGGATGCCTACAGAAAATAAGTCAGAAGGAAAGAAGTTAGGAAGCCATTTCAATAGTTTAGGCAAGAGCTGACAGCACTTGGTGGAGAGGATAAGTGAATAAATTGGAGAAATATTTTAGAAGTAGAACTGACAATATTTGGTGATAGATTAGAAGGCAGGGGTGGGGAAGAGAGATCGGGATTACTTCTGGGTTTCCAGTCCTGATATCTTTTAGATTGTGGAAAGGGGAAAAAAAAATTAACATTTACCAGAAGAGCAAGATTAATACAGTAAGTCTTGACTTAACATCATTGATTGTTTCTGTGCCTTAATGAAATGACATGTAACAAAACCAACTTTATCAATGGCTAATTGATACAAAAAAGTGTTATGTTCCTAGGGCATCTCAGCAACATAATAATGGAATGAGGGCTTGAACAAAAGGATGTTATTGGAAGACCTGCTATACTCAGATTCTTCTCTATTATTTTAGTATCTGTATTAGTTTCCTTGGGCTGCTATAACAAATTACTACAAACTGGGTGGATGAGAACAGCAGAAACGTATTCTTGTACAGTTCTGGGGGCTGGACACCTGAAACCAAGGTGTTGGCAGGGCCACGCTCTCTCCAAAGTGGCGAGAGTGAACCTTGTTCAGCTTGTCGCAAACATAAACTAATTACTAAAATTCTGCAGCACACCAAAAAATATATTTTTTACTGATCTGAAAAAAAAATAGGTATTATTTTTATTCATTCACACTGGACAGCTATTGTACTGGATGTTGTCATTTTTTAATGTGACAATCTAAGTGAAAAGAGGTCAGTGTTCCTGACTAAATAGTCAGGTATTGCATGTTTTCTTAGCATTTTTTAGCTTGTAGCTGTGATCACTTCCTTCTGTGTCTCTGTCTCCACACTGCACTTGCTTGTGCTCTCTCTCGTGTCCTTTCCTCTTCTAGTAAGGACTGGTTGTTGGATTTAGGATTCACTCTAAATCCAGGATGAATTCACCTTGAATTAAATCTGCAAATAGGGTATATTTTCAAATAAGGCCACATTCTGTAGTTCTAGGTGGACATGAACTTTTGGGAAACACTATTCCTCTCACTACACTCACCATTATTTTTATTGAATTTATTTCTCTGGTCCTTATTATAATCATTAGCAACATCCTCAACACTACTATAATTATCATAGTCCTCAACTAGCACCTGTTAAGCAAGAGGTACTGCTCTGAGGTCTTTATATGTATTTGTCCCAAGAGTCACAAGCTTTGGGAGACCCCAAGATCACACCTAAGTTCGCTAGGGGGACTCATGGGACTCAGCAAATAGTTTCACCCATGGCTATGATTTATGACGGTGAAGGGACACAAAGCAAAATCAGAGAAGGGAAAATATGCTGAGGGTAATTCCACAGGAAACCAGGTATGAGTAACCAAGTGAAGTCACAAAGGGCACACCTAACTCATCCAGCATCTAATTATGACAATATATGTGAAGGGTTGTTGTCTATGAGAACACTATTAGAGACTCAATACCTAAGTTGTTGTTGGGGGTTGATTATGCAGATACCCTCTGCCTAGAACAGACCAAAACTCCAGACTCCCAGAGAGAAAGCAGGTTCAGCATAAACCACATTGTACAAGAACTCAAGGTACATCGTAAGTCACTTTCTCAGCTAGGGAATATAGGGGACACTCCTGAAATTCAAGTTCCTGGATGTCAGCCAAAGCAGGTCTTTCTAAGGATAAAAGTCTCAGACTTACTGTGTTAGCTCTTTTCTGCACATGTTATTTCATTTTATCCTTACAAAAAAGAAATGAAAGTTCCTTAGCTTAGATAATGTTTCCAAGATTATACTATTACAGGTTAGTAGTAAATAGGGAAACTGGGATTCAAAAGTGGGTAATCTGATTCTAGATCTCTACTATTACCCACCATGCTTGGCTGCCTGATTTTTGAGGACTTAGTAAAAGGAAAAAAAAAGTTACAATAGACTCACAATAGAATGAACTGACAAAAGCAAGTAGCAAGAAAACTGTAGTCTTAAAACAGATTTTGAAATAAATAATAAAATAGCCATTATATAACAAAAATTCAAAAGTAAATCAAGGGCTAAACAATTTTATAAACACTTTTATAGAACTTTAATGATTAAGAAAAACAAAATTATCAGCATAGGAGCAAATTCAATATTTTAAGAAGATTAAAGAAAGCTAAATTTTTAGCCAAATTAATACAATTGAGGGATTAGGAGATTTAATTTTACCTTTGTAGAGAAAAAAAGTAAAAAAACCCCATTTATGTGATATAGCAGAGAGAGACCTATTAGGACTGTGTTTTTATTTTTTACCTAGTGGAATGATGGCCTGAAGTATAGTCCAATTTTCCAAATTTTTGTGTTCGGTAGCCATGCTTCTCCATGATATCCATCCATGTTGTATAATTTGGATCTAGGCCCTTAAAGTTGTTCCAAGATTCTGTTAAGTGAGTGAAGAGGCCACTCCACATTGCTGGGAAAAAAAGAAATTGGGATTAGTGTAAAACTTAACAATTTTTGTTTATAATTAAGACAATTATTCCAGGACAGACTGGATCCTACTAGTTTAGAGCTCATGCTCTGGAGTAAAACATACCTGCATTAGGTGCTTTACTCTGACATTTCTAATTACCTCATTTATTAGGGGAAAACTCTGCAAGGAGTTACTACTATCCATTTTACAGGTTAGTCTCTAAGGTTTTCAAGGGTGTCCAACCCTCAGCCCACAGGCCGCATGTGGCCCAGGATGGCTATGAATGCGGTCCATCACAAAACCATAACTGTACTTAAAACATGAGATTATTTTGTGATTACATTTCACAATGTAGTTAATGTGTGGCCCAGGACTACTTTTCTTCTTCCAGTGTGGCCCAGAGATGCCAAAAGGTTGGATAACCCTGATATGTTAAAGTTTTTTAAGGTAAATACAGCTGGAATTAAATATAAAGTCTGTCAGACGAGTCTTCTTTCAATCATAAAAATGATCACTAAGTACTTACTGGTTAATTTTCTCAACTTATACAACTATTTATTCCATAAATCTTTCTTCAAATATTAACAGACTTAAAGGGAGAAATAGACAGCAATACGATAATACTAGGGTACTTTAATACTGCACTTTCAACAACAGATATTAGAAAATCAGTAAGAAAACACTGGACTTATACTACTTGTTATAGCAGATAAACTTCACAGACATTTAAAGAACATTCCATCCAAAAGCAACAGAATATATATTCTTTTCAAGCACACATGGAGCATTTCAGGATAGGTCATATGTTAGGCTACAGAACAAATCTTAGTAAATTTTAGAAGATTGAAGCAATTTTCTGATTTCAATGAAGAAAACTGGAAAATTCACAAATGTGTGGAAATTAAGCAACATACTACTGAACAAACTAATGTGTCAAAGAAGTCGTCAAGAGAAGTCAAAATATACCTTGACTTCCCACAACTGAAAATGGAAATTCAACATTCCAAAACTAATGGCATGCAGAAAAAGCTATTCTAAGAAGGGTGTCCATAACAATGAACGTCTACGTTAAGAAAAAAGCAAGCTCAAATAAACCTAATTGTATATCTCATGAAACTTGAAAAACAAGAACGAACTACGCCCAAAGTTAGTAAGAGAAAGGAAATAACAAAGATCGGAGTTGAAATAAATGAAATAGAGACTGAAAAGACAATTGAAAAGATTGATAATACTAAGATCTCGTTTTAAAAAACATAAACAAACCTTTAGCTAGACTAAAAGAAGTATAAAGGATTCAAATAAATAAAATTAGAAATGAATGAGGGGATGTTACAACTGATACCACAGAAATGCAAAGGCTCAAAAGAGACTACAATGAACAATTACATGCCAACAAATTTGATAACCTAGAAGAAATGCATAAATTCCTAGAAACATAGAGACAAACAAGACTGAATCATGAGGAAATAGAAAATCTGAACAGACCATTATGAATAAGGAGATTGAATCAGTAATCAATAACTTTGCAACTTGGTATTAGGTAGTGTGATTCCTCCAACATTGTTCTTCTTTCTCAGGATCACTGTTGCTATTTGGGGCCTTCTGTGGTTCCATATAAATTTTTGAAATATCTGTTCTAGTTATGTGAAATATGTCTTTGGAACCTTGATAGGAATTGCACTGAAACTATAGATGGCTTTGGGTAGTATGGACATTTTAATGATGTTATTTCTTCCTATCCATGAACATGGTATGTGCTTCCAATTATTTGTATCTTCTTCAATTTCTTTCTTTGGTGTCTTATAATTTTCTGAGTATAGGTCTTTTACATTCTTGGTTAGATTTATTCCTAGGTATTTTATTCTTTTTGAAGCAATTACAAATGGGATTGTTTTCTAAATTTCCCTTTCTGTTCATTGTTGGCATATAAAAATGCAACTGACTTCTGGATATTAATTTTATATCCTGCTACTTTGCTGAATTCATTTATCAGTTCTAGTAGTTTCTTGGTGGAATCTTTAGGATTTTCTATTTACAGTATCATAATATTTGCAATCAAACATAGTTTTATTTTTGCCTTTTCAATTTGGATGCCTTTTCTTTCTTCTTGTATGATTCCTGTGGCTAGGTCTCCCAGTACTATGTTGAGTAAGAGAGGTGAAAGTGGATATCCCTGTCTTGTCCTCAATCTTAAGAGAAATGCCTGTTGAGTATGATGCTGGAAGTGGATTTGTCATATGTGGACTTTATTATATTTAGGTATGTTCCCTCTATTCCCACTTTAAAAAGAAGGTAATTTTACCGTTTGAGACAGAATGGATAGACGTGAGGAACATTATGCTAAGTGAAGTAAGCTAGTCAGAGAGACACACACCCTATGATTCCACTCCTATGTGGAATTTAAAGAACAAACTGAACTACCAAGCAAAATATTCATAGAGAGCAGGGTGGCAGCTATGGTGGCTGGAAGGAAGGGGTGGAGGGATTGAGCAAAAAACAAAAAGGACTCATGGACATGGGCAAGGGTGTGGTGATTGCAGGGTGGGGGAGAGAGGATATAAGGGGACTAAATGTTAATGGAAAACGTACAATAAAAAAATTAAAAAAAAACCCAAAAACTTCACAGCAAAGAAAAGTCTAGGACCAGATGGCTTTGCTGGTGAATTCTACCAAACATTGAAAGGAATTAATACCAATCATTCCCAAACTCTTCCAAAAAATAGAAGAGAAGGGAACACTTCCAAACTTATTTTACAAGGCCAGCACTACCCTGGTACTAAAAACAAAAACAAACAAATGAACAAATAAAACCTACCAAAAAAGAAAAAAGAAAAAAAATTAAATTACAGGCCAATATAGCTGATGAACACAGATGCAAAAATTCTCAAAAGTATTAGCAAACCAAATTCAATAATACATTAAAAGGATCATGCACCATAGTCAATTGGGATTTATTCCAGGAATGCAAAGATGGTTCAAAATTGGGATTTATTCCAGGAATGCAAAGATGGTTCAAAATCTACAAATCAATCAATTGCCAGAAATAGAAATTAAGAAAACAATTTCATTTACAATTGCATCAAAAAGAATAAAATACTTAGGAACAAATTTAACCAAGAAGGTGAAAGATATATACATTAAAAACTATGTCCTGACTAGTGTGGCTCATTGGATTGAGTGCTGGCCTGTGAACCAAAAGGTTGCTAGCTTGATTTTTGGTTATAGCATGTGCCTGGGTTGTGGGCCAGATCCTCAGTTAGGGGTGTGTGAAAGGCAACCAATCAATGTAGTATCTCTTGCACATCAATGTTTCTTTCCTTCTCTTTCTCTTTCCCTCCCCCCCTTCTAAATAAATAAAATCTTAAAAAAAAAAACCCTTAAGATATTGATGAAAGAAATTGAAGATGACACAAATAATTGGAAAGATAACCTGTGCTCATGGGTTGAAAGAATTAATATTGTTGTAATGGCCATAACTGTCCAAAGCAATCTACAGATTCAGTGCAATACCTAGCAAAATTCCAATGGCATTTTTCACAGAAATTGAATAAAATTTGTATGAAACCATGTAAGACTCTGAGCAGCCACAACTGTCTTGAGGAAGAAGAACAAAGCTGGAGGCACTATGCAACCTGATTTCAAACTATGTTACAAAGGTATAATCATCAAAACAGTATGACTGTCCTAAAACAGACACATAGATCAATGAAACAGAATAGAGGGCCCAGAAATAAACCCATGAATGTTTGGTAAATTAATTTATGACACAGGAGTTAATAATATACAATGGGGAAATGATAGTTTCTTCAGTAACTGTTGATTGGGAAACTGAACCTCTGTCTTACACCATACACAAAATCAACTCAAAATGGATTAAAGACATGCACATAAAGCCTGAAATGACAAAACTCCTAGAAGAAAACATAGTAGGTAATGTTCTCGACATTGACCTTGACCATAAGTTTTTGGATTTGACACAAAAGCAAAGGCAAGAAAAGCAGAAATAAACAAGTGGGACTAAATCAAACTAAAAGGTTTCTGTTCAGCAAAGGAAACCATCAATAAAATGAAAATGCAACCCATGGACTGGAAAAAAAAATCTGCAAATCATCTATCAAATATGGGGTTAATATCCAAAAAATACAAAGACCTCATACAACTCAATAGCAAAAACAAAAACAAAAAAGTCCAATTAAAAAATGGACAGAGGAGCCCTGGCTGGTGTGGCTCAGTGGATTGAGTGCTAGCCTGCAGACCAAAAGGTTGCCAGTTCAATTCTCAGTCAAGATACATGTCTGGATTGCAGGCCAGGTCCCCAGATGGGGCATGTGAGAGGCAACCAATCAGTGTTTCTCTCACACATCAATGTTTCTCTCCCTCTCACTCTTCTTTTCCTCTCTAAAAATAAATAAATAAATAAAATATTTAAAATAATAAAAATAAATAAGTAAATAAAAGATGGACAGGGCATCTTAATGAACACTTTTCCAAATTAGACTTAGAAATAGCCAGCAGGTACATGAAAAGATGTTCAACACAGCTAATCATCAGGGAAATGCAAATCAAAACTGCATGAGTTATTACCTCGTGCCTGTTAGAATAGCTATTATCAAAAGATAAGAGATAAGAAGTGTTGGCTAGAATATGGAGAAAAGGGAACTCAGGAGAACCCTCATGCATGGTTGATAAGAATATAAATTAATGAAGCCACTATGGAAAAATGAGGAAGCCACTATGGAGGTTCGTTAAAAAATTACAACTAGAACTACCAATAATCCAGCAATTTCACGTTTGGGTATACATCTGAAAGAAATTAAGTCACTATCTCAAAGAGATATCTACACCCCCATATTATTTGCATTATTTACCATAGCCAAGGCATGGAAACAACCTGTGTCCATAGAAAAATGAATAAATAAAATCAATGTGATGTGCTATATATATAACATGGGACAATATTAAGCTATAAAAGAGAAGGAAATCCTGCCTTTTGTGACAACATGGATGCACCTTGAGGTATTTATGGTAAGTGAAATAAGTCAAAGGAAGACAAATACTGAATCCTGTATAATCTCACATATATGTGGAATCTAAAAAGAACCAAACTCAATAAAAACAGCCTGTGGTTGCCAGGAGCCACTATGGTTTTGGGATGGGAGGAAGTGGTAAATACATACAAATATCCAGTTAAGTAAGTTCTAGAGATGTAATGCACAGCATGACAACTATAGTTAATATCATACTGTATATTTGAAAGTTGCTAAGAGAGGATCTTGAAAGTTATTACAAGAAAGAAATTTAACTATGTGAGGTGCGATGGATGTTAACTAAACTTAATGTGATAATCATTTCGCAAAACATAAATATATCAAATAATTGTTATATACTTTAAACTAATGCAATGTTATATGTCAATTATATCTCAATAAAACTGGGAAAAATCCTTTTCCTTTTACCATTTCTGTATACACACATAGTAAGGTTGAATAAACATTCTTTTCTCATCTAACAAAATGCCTTTTTTATTTTTTTGAGGGGTGGGATGGGGGCTTACTTGGATTTCAGCCCCAGTATCAGTTACTGAGTGGCTTTTGATAAGCTACCTAACCTTTCAGTACTTTAGTTTTATCTGAAAAATGAGGATAATAATATCTATTTTATGGAAATGTGAGGATTATATGAATTAAGCCATGGAAGGCACTTAGAATATTGTCAGGCACACAGTAACAATGCAATAAATGTTAGTTTTTGTTACTTTTATTCCTTCACTTTGCTCAAAATATACTTCCTCCAGGAAAAGCATTGTCTAACACTTTTGAAATCTTGAGAGTTAATTGAGTTGTTTTTATTCATTATTTCATTTGATGGTGGGAACAACCTTATGAGGTACACAATGTATACAGCATTTTGTAGAGAAGAAAACCAAGTGACTTTTTTGACAAGGCCCTTTGAGGGTTCAGATGCATGTCATCATCTCCCCAAGTCCACTGTCCGTTCCATTTGCTCAATTAAGAATAAAAAATTAATACAATGGTTTTTTAATTTGCCTGGTCCTTAATTGTTGAAATATAATTTACAATATAGTTCAGATTTCCTTTAATCAGTGGTGATTATATAGTTGATAGTGCTGAAAATGTAGGTGAAGAAACTTGTGACTCAATTCACAGAGAATATCGTGCTGGAAACTTATAGACAAGCAAATTGCTGAGTACTATTTATGGGGTGCACAGCAAGAGACAATTGATAAGAATGGTAGTTATTCCATTTCTCAGTTATATATGGCTTAATGTCACAGACATTTTGCCATTTGAACTATGCCTATTTGTTAAATTACTATAATAAAAGAAATTAGGTTTGGGATAGAAGTAAATTAAGCTGAAGACAGATTAAAGTATGTAATCTTAGAGAACATGGACAACATCAGATAAGCCTGAGAAGTTCTAACTCCTTTGTGGTATACTATAAATTCCCCTCCCAACTTCCTGTACTCTAACTGAAAAAATTCCTTGGAAATAGAACTCTTTCAGGAAATATGAGTATTTTCTCATTTGCTTGTATGGTCAAAAGATTCTTAGTCACCAGTCATAAGGAAATGAAACAGTAACACATGAACTAAATACTATTTTAAATGATAAAAATCCCTACTCTGAAAAAATAAGTTAGAAATTCTAATACCTTAAATACCCAACAGATACCTTAAATCTCACATCATTAAAATTTTTTTATTAGATGGCAAATATGGCTTACTGTATTACTTTTGGGGATAATCTTTTAAATTGTAAAATCACTTTCAGTATGTGGCCCCTTTCCTCCATTAATATTAAGCATGTTCAATGGACAAAATCAAAGGGGAAGAGCTGAGGGAGGGAAGGAGGGAGGGGGCAAGGGAAAGCGGTGGAGGGGAGGCAGAGACAAATGTATTTAAAAAGTAAATAAATAAATAAATAAATATTAAGCATGTTCATACCTGCACGCGATGGGCAACAGATTGGAGAGTTCGTGTAGGCATTCAGAAAGGAAGTGCCACGTGCTTTCATGAAGTTGATAAAAGGAAGTTTCATGACCTGATTTCCTGGATAAAATGTTAGCCTTCCATCCTGGAACAAAGAAATTTAATTAACACTGATTGCATCACACAAAAGAAAATTGTTTCCTTTAATTTTAACCATAAAATTTACAAGCATCTAAAGACTTCAATATGAACTTAAAATTCTCAAAAGATACAAATAAGTATAGACAGTGATATCAGTATCTGGCTCATTGTATTGAGAATTCAATGCAGCATTACACTTAGATTCACTCGAATATAGTCAATAAAGGACTTTCTGGAAAGTTCTTTTGGGGGATGATAGACTGATTGAACCAACATTTATTGAATATTTACTAAGTGCCAGGCACTGTGAAAGATCTGGACACAATTTGGAGATAAAACAGAGTCCCTGGAGCCTTTGAAGCTTAGCTTAGTGGGAGAGGCAAAAAGTATGCTGGTAAATAAAATATGAATAATTACAAATTGTGGTACGTACTTTCAAAAAAGCTTGAGGTACAGAATAACAAGTGTGACCTACTTTAGATAGAGTGGATAGTGAAGGCTTTTCTGGGAAGTAAGAGACCTAAATGAGAGGGACCCAGCTATTCAAGTAATTGGAGGGGCATGTAAACCTAGAGATACCTGTAAGACGTAAGAAGAGGTATTAATTAGGTAGCTAGATGAATGAACCTAAAAGTCAGAAGAGATGTTTGGGTTGGAGATACGCATTTTGGGGTTGAAGTGGGTATTGAAAACTCTCCTTGGTAAAAAGCAAAGACAAAAAACAATATTCTAGCACTGGAATTATATATATTATATGTTTTCAATATAATTATAAGTAAAGTACAATTTAAAAAGTGAGCCTATCCAAAATCTGGGAAAGATACACACACACACGCGCGTGCGCGCGTGTGTGTGTGTGTGTGTCCTTGAGATGTATGAGATTTCCAAATGGACATATGAAGTAGGATGTTAGTTACAGGCAGGAATCTGGAGCTCAGAGAAGTCTATTCTGGTGCAAAAAAACTTGAGAGTCTTTAGCATATTCATGGTTCTGAAAACTGTGAGACTGACTGAAAACTTTTAAGGAGAGGGCGAAAAGAGGAAAGAAAGAAATCCACTGGGGGCCCTGAGGATTCCTAAGAAAGAGGAGAGGGCAGCCTGGGAAACTGAGAAAGGATGGCCAGTGAGGGAGGAAGATACCAGGAGGCTGGGTCCCATGAAAGCTGAGAGAAGACAGAAGAGAGAAGGCTAGAAAATGTGCATTGGAACTGGTGGTATGGAGGCAGCTGGTGGTCTTGACAGCAGTGCTCTCAGCAGAGTGGCAGGGAGGCACAGCTAAGCTGGAAAGGGGAAAAGGGAGTGGGAAGTGAGAAAGTGAGGCAACTCATTTTCCAGTGGGTTATTTTGCAAAGGGAAACAGAAAAATGGTACGGACGTTAGAGAATGGAGTGTTAGCTAGAGGAGAATGTAGAATTCAGATCAGGTTCTTTTTAAGAAGGGTAGCGTTAGAGCATGGCTGCATGCGGACATAAACCACCACTGCTAGCAGGAGTAATCAGTGAATGCTAAGCAAACAACTGCTGCTTTCCTGAATGGGGAGCTGGGAAGCCCAAGACAGAAGTGCATATTCTTCCCTCAGAAGAATTTCATAAATTCAAACTCACAGAACATACCCTCACAAATCCCAAGTGGCTTCATGTCTTATTTTTATAATCTTTTGGACATAAGGGGTAATAGCCAATTGTGGCCACTGTTTAGAATCTAGGAAACCCAGGCTTACCTGGATGCAGGGATAGAGTAGGAGGCCACATGGCAGAAGCACTGTGATGCTGCACATTTCAAATTCTCTTTTAAGTTTGATCTTCATTTAGAGCATTATTGGCATGCTTTTGACATTGAGGGTATGTATAGTGTAACTTCAGTTCCTAAGAACCCAATTAAATGCAAATCTTGCCACAGATGTACTTAATCCAGGTATATGAAGCTTTGCAAAAAAGATGCTGTTCAATTATGAACACATTGAATTTGTCTGTTGTAAATTAAACATCTCTGGATTAAAGATTCATTTCACTCCATTCACTAAATATTTATTGAGTGCCTTATATATCTCGTCCGTAATCTTGACACAGACTACCTTTCACACATTCCAAGTTAGAAACTTGCCCAAATGAAGCAGTTATCCCCTCTCCCTCTTGCCATCAGGTTGCTCTGCAATTTAAAGAGTCCTGCTTTCTCTTCCTGCTTTAAAGAAATGAAGGCCTTGTACCAGTCACAGAAATGAAACCTGAAATTGCTGACATGGATTTTAAACTGATACATGAATCACTGATATGCTGCCATAGCCATTTGTAGCAATAGTTACACCAGTATGAACCAAGCCTGCAGAATTTGTGATTTGGATTGTTCCTTTTAGAATCATGAGTTTACTTATCATTCTGGACCAGGGAAAACCGGTGAAGTTTAGATTTCAAGGCATCATTTTAGGGACAGAAGATAGCAGTAACTTTAACCATCTGTCTGTTATCACAGCAAGACTGTTTATAGTATTGTTCTCAGATCAGTCCATCAGATAGAAGGAGATTCTTACTAGATTCTGTGGTATACATTCCTGCCCTGCATTCCACTCCTGAAACCTCACCAAAACTAAAAGTAATGAAAGCACAGAGGTGGATGGAGAGAGACAGAGAGATGATGCTTATGTTCCTGAAGACTCGGGCAGGCGCTTATTTTCTTTTTAAAAAACAAGTTTAAGACATAATTCACATACCATACAACTCACCCATTGAATGTCTACAAGTCAGTGGTTTTTGATATATTCAGAGAATTGTGTAACAATCATCACAATAAATTTTAGAACATTTTCATCTTTCCAAAAAAGAAACCCTGCACTCCTTGGCCATCAGCCTACTACTCCCCACTCCAATGCCCCAAACCACAGGCAATAGCTAATCTTTCATCTCTACCTTCTGTCTCTACAGATTTGTTTTCTTTGGACATTTCTTGTAAATGGAAGCATACAGTATGTGGTCCTTTGTGACTAGCTTCTTTCACTCAGCTTAATGAATTCTAGGTTCATCACATTGCAGCATGTATCAGTGCCACATTTATTTTTTACTGAATAATATTACAAAATTTTAAAAGTCTATCAGTTGATGGATATTTCGGCTGTTTCCTCTATTTGGCAGTATTACATATAATTTCATGTACAAGTTTTTGTGTGGACATGTATTTTCATTTCTCTTGGATATACCTAGAAGTAGAATTGCTAGGTCATATAGAAAGCCATGTTTAACCATTTCAGGAATTACTAAGTGGTTTTGCAGAGCGGCTGCGCCACTGTAAACTCCTCCTGGCGGTGTATGAGCAGTCCCATCCCCCTGTATTCTAGTTATTGTGTGCTTTTGGCTGCAGCCCACTTGGTCTTGGTGGGTGTGAACTGCCCTCTCATTGTGGTTTTGATTTACATTTCCCTAATTATTAACAATGCTGAGTATCTTTTCATGTGCTTATTGGCCATTTGTATATCATATTTGGAGAAATGTCTATCCAGATCTTTTGCCCATTTAAAAAATTTCCTAATCCAAGGTCACAAAGATTTGCACCTATATTTTCTTCTAAGAGTTTTACAGTTTTAGCGTTTATGTTTGATTTCTTGATTCACTTTGAATTAGTTTTTAGAATGTTGTGAGGCAGGGTCCAACTTAATTCTTTTGCATATGGACATTTAGTTTTCCCTGCAGTATTTCCTGAAAAGACTACTCTTTTTCTATTAAATGGTCTTGACACCTTTGTTGAAAATCAACCGACTATAAATGTGAGAGTTTACTTTTGTACTATCAATTCTATTCCATTGACCTATATGTTTATCTATTCTTATGCCAGTAAAACACTAACTTGATTACTGTAGTTTCTAGTAAGTTATGAAATTAGAAAGTGTAAGTCCTCCAATTTTGTTCTTTTAAAAGATTGTCTTGGCTATTCTGGGACCCTTGAATTTCCATATGAATTTTAGGATGGGTTTCTGTATTTCTGCAAAAACATCATAGGAATTTTTACAGAGATTGCATTGAATCTGTAGATCAATTTGATGATTATTACCTTGGTAACAATATTGAATCTTCTGACCCATAAACATGAGATGTCTTTCCATTTATTTAGGTGTTCTTTAATTTCTTTCAACAGTGTCTTGTAGTTTTCAGAGTATAAAAATTGTACTTCTTTGGTTAGATATATTCCTAAGTATTTCAATCTTTTTGATGCTATTTTAAGTAGAATTATTTTCTTAGTATTTTCAGCTTGTTCATCAATCAAATGTGGAGAAATACAATTGGTTTTTTAATATTGATCTTCTATGCTGTAGCCTTGCTAAACTTACTCATTAGTTCTAATAGTTTTATAGTGGATTCCCTAGGATTTTCTATATACAAGGTTATATTATCTGCAAATAGAGATATTTTTATTTCTTCCTTTCCAAACTTGGTGTCCTTTATTTCATTTTCTTGTCTAATTCCCTGCATGAACCCTCCAGTACAATACTGAATAGACACAGTTAAGAGCAGATTTCCTTGTCTTGTTCCTGATCTTATGAAGAAAACATTGTTTTCTACAGTTATGTGTAACATTACTGTGTATTTGTGGCTCTTTTGCAGATGCCCTTTATCAGATTGAGGAAATTCTCTATTTCCAGTCAGCTGAGTGCTTTTATCATGAAGCGTTGTTGAATTCTGTCAGATGCTCTTTTTGCATATACTGAGATGATCATGTGGTTTTTACCCTTTATTCAGTTAGCATGGTGTATTACATTAACTAATTTCCAGATATCAAACCCAACTTAAACTATGGGGATAAATCCCATGTAGTCATGGTGTGTATAATCCTTTCCATATATTGCTGAATTTAATTTTCTGGTATTTTGTTCAGGATCTTTGCTTCTATATTCATAAGAGATAGTAGTCTGTACATAATAGTATGTGTTTATATACACCAATATATAGAAATCTATGTATTCTTACTACACCAAGAAAATAATAAACCAGTTAGTTCAGTCATCTTTGGAAGTTTCTAGGAGGTTGTGATGCACCACCCACATTCCCTTTTAGAAAGGAAAGACTGCCTCTGCAGAAGAGAGCTGCCTTGCCCATGATCATGCCCCATTCTGGGAGCAGCCCAGAAAGGGCTGTCTGACCAGACCGTGCAAAGGTGCGGCCCCTCACCTCAACTGGAATCAGTTCTGAAGCATCATACTAGTTTAAGAACTAGTATGTCAGCTGAGGCCTCCACTGATACAGCAACAAAACTCAACTTCTTTCTCTACACAATCCTGCTTCTTTCCTTTCCCTTAGATCTCAGGTGCACTCCCTAATTAGCTTTCATGCTGCTCTCCAATATGCCTGTTCTGTAAGTTTGGATAATCATAAAGATTACTAAATATTAATATTACTTTAAGTAATCTCAACAAATCTGTGGGGATATCCAGATTATGTAACTTGAATCATCATGGGTTAATCTATGAGAAAGGTAATACAACATAGTGGTTAAAAGCACTCTGGTGCCAGACATGCTTAACACCAACTATCTACATGACCACACTAACCCCCAGTGATAATGAACTAATGTTATAATTAGTAACCAAACATTTGACCAAGCATTAGTTTTAAAATCATGGATAATACTAAAGTATCAGGTAATAGTGATAGTAGTATTCTTTCGGTTGATGGCTTGAGAAAGTTCTAAAAGCTCTTGAAGTTTAGGACAGCGCACACACACACATCCACACCCACACCCACACACACAACTTTCCTGGAATATCAGGGATCGGGTCACGTTATATTCCCTAATGGATTTAAATCAGCACTAATAGGATTATCAGATACCTGGATAATAAAAATAAGTTTAACTTTCTTCACTTCTCACCCAAACACACATCCCTCAAACTTGAGGTGAATGGGGAAATGACCGCTAGAAAACTAACAAGCTTTTAAAGAGATGCAGAATGTTATTTCCCCCTACTATTAAGTCAAACGGTGGTATGGACTGATCGTTCACTAACAGTGGCAAAATAATTTAGTGGATCGAGGCTAGCAATAAAATAAAAGTAAGATTTGCAAAGACGCTATCAAGAGTGCATTTTATTTACTAAAATAATTGTTTCACATGTATGACATGCACATCTATGTGGTGAACATGTGTGTATACGGGGTTTCAAGATAAATGCACTTCTTATTTTGCACTGGGGAAAAACATGTTAGAAAAGTTTCAGATTCTGCTTCCCAAAGCCTGCAAGCGCTGTAGGCGGATAGCGGATCAGGACCGGCGCACCGCCTCCCTCCTCCAGCCGCCTCCCGCTCTAGCCACCTCTAGGTACTTACAAAGGAGTCACTCACAACTAGCACCACATTAGACGTTTTGGGCCAAGCCTGAGCTGCTCCCCGCCACTTCCCACTAGTCCTGCGAGCTGGCGCTGCCAGCGCGGAGGCTGCGACCACCCACACGCACAGCAGCAGCATTGCAGAGAGTGTGCGGAGCCCAGCATCCGGGCCCTGGGTCTGGTTCCCACCACCCCCAACCCTCCAGAGAATGTGGGCGGGGATTGCAGAGATCGTAGGTCTGTTTCCTCCTAGCGCTTCACCCGCAGAACTACAACTCCCATCAGGGTTGGAGTGAGCACATGCGCAAAGGTGGACTCCCCCGCGTTAATTCACTTTAAGGCCTTTTAATCAAATCCCGAGCACGGTAAGAACCACCCACTTCCTGTCACGTGAGCGATGTCGTGATGGAGAAGAGTATACGCATGCGCTCTGATTCCAGAGTGGTTTGTAGAAGCATCCGCCCAGGTGAGTTCGGGTCAGTGTGGCTTTTGCAGAAGTGGAAGTTGTAGGCGGTTGAAATGGTTGAAATGAAAACCTAGTTGCAGAAAGGATCAGGTGTCAGGGATGCTCGTTTTGTGCTGAACAGGCGTGGCTGAACGGGAGGTGGGGCCGTGAGCTGGGTAGTGATGAGGTGGCAGCGTGTCTGTCACTGAAGTTGGATCGGTGGTTCTTTGTGAGGCCTGTGGCCGGACCCGCACAGATGCGGTATGGGTACCATGGAAACCTCCTCGAATACGTTCCCCCAAGGAAATTTGCAGCCTGCCTCATCTTATTCCCACCTTTGCAGGTGCAGTTAGAATGTACTGTACTCGCGGGGGGTGAGGAGTAGGGCCTGGTCAGTAAAGTTTCAGATTACAGGCAGGCGCGTCTTGCCTTCAAAGTGGAAAGTGGAGAACCGAACAGTCTCTCGGAGGAAGATATGTTGGGCTGTGTGACGTGTTCGATTAATTGACGTAGGTTCAGAACCCATTGTTTTGCTGCAGCAAAATCACAGGTCCTTGACTGTTTTTCTCCTTTGGAGAAATCCGGAAGAAGCAGGTATCTGTCCCAGAGCCAAACTCCTGATTTCATTATCACAGTTTCAGGTATATAATTTGCACATCATTATTAGTCATTTTAATACTTTGACAGGAAAAGGAGTTGCAGCCTTAGCATATACTCAACTCTTATACTCTGACAGTGTGTTTACATAAAATAATTGTATTAAGGGACAGACCTTCTTTAATACCCATATACCACTTATTCCATGTTGGGGATTATATTAAATATTTATTGAGCACTTACTGCATGACCAATACTTTTATGTGGAGTGCTTTCCAGAATCCTTACTTTCACCATTTTACAGATGGGAAAACTGAGGCTTGGAGAGGTTAAATGACTTACACGGAGAGCCAGTCTGAGTAGGACTTGATTATCTGTGCTCTAACTCACTGCTTATACTCTGTCTCTAATTAATTACAAAATTTCATGATATTATCCTGAGCTTACTCTCTGTTAGTGAAGCGTAAGTATTAACCAGACAGCATGCTAAAGATCTGTGGTGAATGCAAATACATAAACAATACTCCTTGTCCTCAAGGAACTTAACGCTCTAGGGAAACAAAAGCAAACCAATAGTACAGCATGGAAGGTAATACAGGTAGGCTCTTTTGTGAACAAGATATATTTTAAAAATTTGAGCTAATTTGGAATGTAGAACACGTTTTATGGTAGAAACAATGCTGACTGACATCTAGATTCTTCAAAGATGGGTTCAACTTCATCTGTGGCACAATATTGATTCTGTGAACTGCATTTCTTCTCTGTGGCCTTGTTTTCACAGGACATGTATTGTGAATTACTAGTCTGGATGGCAGGACTACATCTTTTCTCCTCTTCTCTCTCCCCTTTGACAGTGTGAGTGGGAGCAGGTGCTGCATTGGGTTGGAGCAAGATGAATATTGTAGGTCCCCTGACAGATAGTGTTGGTGGACTCTAAGAGGCTTCTATTCTAGGCCAACTTCTCGCCTGACGTTCAATTTGTCCTACAATATTCCTGCCAGTGGGTTGTCCAATCTTTGCCTTTTCATCTCCAGTGATGGGAAACATTCTTCCTATGAGCAGCTATTCCACTTTTATACTGATTTGATTATTAAAAGTTCTTATTTTGAGCTGAAGTCAGCCTTTCTCTACTTTTTATCTTTAAGTGAATAATCTCTCCCGTTCAACTACGCTTCTCACCTTTTCCTCATACCCCCTTCCCCCCCCCCACCCTGAGGCCTTCCCCTGTTCCAACTGTTGTTATATAATTTCAGGTTTCCTCCTTATTTTGATCACTCTTTTCTGCCCGTAGAGTATTTTTGCTAATCAGTAACTTTATTAGAAAAGGAACTTTTGAGGTGTGAGTGTGCATCTTTTTGTGTGAACATGTATGTATATGTATGTTGCAGTGAGGGTAGGGGGGTCCATTACATGTATGTTGAAATCATCAGTTAAAGATTTGTTTGTTAGGGATTGCTAGCTTTAGTGAAATACTTAACTCTGCAGTTCACCAAAGTCTTCACCTGAAAGTCTTGGTCTAGGTTTTGGTTCTTCATAATTCTTTTACTGTCCCAAATACCAGCAGCACTGTACAGGTGGGGCAAAAGTAAGTTTACAGTTGTGAGTATATGAAACAGTTTATTCTTGTATTACTATTTATTAATTCTTTTATTCCATATAAGCAACTGTAAACCTGCTTTTGATCCACCCTGTATTCTGCCTTAAGAAAAAGAGGCTAAGTGTACAGTTAGTGACTATATGGAATAAATTCAGTATTGTATTCACCTGCAGTGATTTTGTGAATATTTGTTGAATATCTCAAAGTACCAGACACTAGGACCTAACAGAGTAGCATAAATGGTCTTTGCTCCTAAAGGACTTCCAAGCTAGTTGTGGGAAACAAACACACACCCTTGTAAATTTAATAGCAGTATAAAAGATATCCAAAAGTACAGTTATCAAACAAACAAGAGGCCCTAACCAGAATATCCCATTTGTACTTTGGAAAATAGTAATGTGCTTCAGAATGTTAATAGTTCACTGAAGTAAGTGTTTCATAGTAACATATGTGGGGGGATCCCCTCCAAGACCAGAATTATTCTCTGGAGGGCAGGCCTTTTTATAGGCTACCCCTGCTATGTGAGTGTTCTAGGAACCCACCTGTATCACTGTGCCAGCTGGGCTATTGTGAGAGGCTGCATTGAATTTCAGTTTTAGTGAATTTCTTTTTGAAGACTTTCAACGCATTTGCCCATTTCATGATGGGTAATTTATGAGTTTTGATAAAAAATGGCATGACTCCTGTGCCCGCCCCTCCCTATTCACCCAGTCTCACCCTTCAGCGACTTTTTTGTTTCCCCGGATGAAAAAAGTCCTCAAAGGGAAATGTTTTGCCGACGTGGAAGAGGTGAAACAAAAAATGGCAGAAGGACTAAAAGGCATCAAAATCAACAAGTTCAAAAACTGTTTTGAACAGCAGAAAAAAGTCTCAATAGGTGTATTGCATCAAATAGCGAGTACTTTGAAGGTGACTGAAGTTTAAACATGTAAGAGTAAATATACTGTTTTTAATAAGTAAGTTCTGTTTTTTTGGGTGTCCCCCATGTACATTGCAGAGTTGTTGGGTTAAACCATCTGTGGATCTTTACTATAGGACTTCTCAGAGCCTTTCAAATGCTAATTATACATTGTGACTTTCAAAGAGGGACATATATAATGTGCAGTATTCACAAAATTAGTAGGCCATATATTAACTTTTGAGCATGTTAATATTTCTTAGAATACATTTTTGGATATGTTGGTATAGATAATAAGTGTTACAAAGTTTGGACTAGTCTGAGATTTGTCTAAGGCTTTATGCTTGACACTTGAATGTGGCCTTGAGTTACACGTAGCTTGAGGACAGAAGCAGAAGTGGACAGGCTGAATGGGGGAAATAAAGACATAGAGGTGGAAAGGTCTGGGGGTGGAGACGAAAAGTAATGTGGGCTAATGTTAATGAGAAGATTCTTCCTTTCTAACCATAGCAAATGGAGAATTACTGCTTTTGGGTAGTGGGGAACAAAAAACTAAGTGTTCTTTAGTAGGCTTTGGAAGCTGGAAGATAGTATTCAATGGGTGTTGGATATGTAAGGAATTCCTTATATCTTGTAATTATGTACATGACATCAAGATATGTTATTTTTATTTAGCAATTTTTTTTTGACCTGGGACTGCAGGACATATCTGTATAAAACAATAAAAAGTATCTGTTAAGTGTCAGTTGAATAGCTCAACCAATATGTGCTTCAGTGGTTCAGAAGAAGGAGTGGTGTCTTTTGCAGGCTTTATCCAGTATTTGTGTGCTAACAACTTAAAGAGGATACTTGTGTTAAACGATAGCCATTTTTTTTGAAGAATATAGGCAAGAAGGTTGTTTCCTGAGAGACCAAAGAAGGAGGGGCTTGGAGATTTTATATGTGTAGATAAAGTTTTTAATAACTACTGTGGGTTATGAATAGGAAAAAAGTAGTGAAGTTGATTGAGAGGGTGCAGAGTTATATATATTGTATTCAGGCACTCCGTCTATGTACATATCAGGGAAGTGATGTAATCTTTACTTTACCCATGAGGACATAGGCTTGGAGCTATGAAGTAAGGTGTCCAGGGTCTGATGGCACTTGAACCCAGATCTACCTGATTCCTAAGCCCCTTCTCAACCAGGTTAAGTCTTGCTTTGCTGGGTGGATATGGCAGAATGAAGGGGCTGACAAAATCTGGAATATTTTGCAAGAACAGAGTTGAAGTGACTAACAAAATCAGGTGTGAAAATAACTAGTTGGATCAAGGCTTAAACAAGTTAGCTATCTGGGAGAATCAGGTTTTCACATTTATATTACCTCCCCACCCCTTGTTTTAACTTTTACTTTCCTAAACATTGTTTGGATCACGTGTCTTCGTTTTCTTTACAGTAAGATGCTTTTCTGTGGAACTAATTTTATTTAAGTATATCGATAGTATGTTTTAGTCTAGTAACTCACTTTCTGTTACTTGTTCATCCCCACCTGCTTCATCTAAATTTTATTCATTTCCTAGTTCTCAGGTAGCATGTTTTTTAAAAAACTTTATTCGGTTTTCAAAACCACCTCCATTCACTCCATGAAGCATTCTAGATTAATTTTGTTTGACAGAATTTATTCCAGGTA